TTTGTCTAGCTTCAACTTCCAGCCATTGGATTGTATTATACCTTTCTCTGCTAGATTGAAGAGACTATTATTAAATATTTTTTCTCCATGTAGATATTTATAGACTGCAATCAAGTCATCCCTTAACCTTCTCTTTGTTACGCAAGTCATGTTTTCTAATCCTTTAATCATTCCCTTGGCTCTTCACTGATCCCTCTCCAATTTAGCAATATCCTCCTTGAACCGTGGACACCAGAACTGGACACAGTATTCCAGCAGCAATCACACCAGTGCCAAATACAGAGGTAAAATAATCTCTCTACTCCTACTTGAGATTCCCCTGTTTATGCATCCCAGGATCACTTTAGCTCTTTTGGCCACAGTGTCGCACTGGAAGCTCATGTTCAGCTGATTATTCACCATGACCCCCATATCTTTTTCAAAGTCACTTCCCAGGATAATCCCACATCTTGTTAATATGACCTACATTCTTTCTTCTGAGATGTATACTTTTACATTGAACCATATTAAAATGCATATTGTTTGCTTGCACAGTTTACCAAGCGATCCAAATCACTCTGAATCAGTACCCTGTCCTCTTCATTATTTACCACTCCCCCAATTTTTTTATCATCTGCAAATGTTATCAGTGATGACTTTGTTTTCTTCCAGTTTGTTAACAAAAATGTTAAATAGTGTAGGGCCAAGAACTGAAACCTGTGGGACCCCACTGGAAACACACTCAATCAATGATGAGTCACAGTTTACATTTTGAGACCTATCAATTAGCAAGTTTTTAATCCATTTAACATGTGCTATGTTAATTTAATATCATCCTAGTTTTCTAATGAAAATGTGTGGTACCAACTCAAACACATTACAGAAGTCTAAGTATATCACTATTTAACACTATTTAACAACTAAATTTGTAAGCTCATCAAAAAATATCGTTAGTTTGACAGCATCTATTTTCCATAAACCCATGTTGATGTGCATTAATTACGTTAACTTCCTTTAATTCTTCATTCATCAACTCCCATATCAGCCACTCCATTATCTTGCTAGAGATTGATGTCAGGCTGACAGGCTTCTAATTACCTGGGTCATCCCATTTACCTTTTTTTAAAATGGGCACATTCGTGTTTTTCCAGTCTTCTTGAAATTCTCCAGTAATCCAAGACTTATTGAAAATCAACATCAACTTTGAGATCCTCAATCAGCTGATTTAAAACTCTTGGATGCAAATTATCTGGACCTGCTGATTTAAAAATGTCTGATTTAATAGCTTCCATTTAACGTCTTCTGAGATACTAGTGGAATGGAAAGAGTGTTATCATCACAATGTATCATCTGTTTATTCTCCAAATACAGACCAGAAGTATTAATTTAACACTTCTGCCTTTTCTATGTTATTATTGATAATTTTACCAATGGACCAATACTATTCTCAAGATTCTTTTTTTCCCCCCAATATATTTTTTTAAACTCCTTCTTATTTTCCTTTACTCTGCTGGCCACAGATTTCTGCTTGTGTCCCTTGCTTCTCTTATCAATTTTCTACAATTCCTAACATCCAATTTATATTCATTACTATCAACTTCCCCTTTCTTCCATTTATATATATGGAGCTCTAAGAGCTGCCTTGACTTCCCCTCTAAACGAGGTAATTTTTTAAAATCAGCATAGCCTTCTTCCTCGATTGTGGCTTTTTGGTCATCTAGAAATGATTCCCAATTATCATTCACATTTTTCTGATTAAATTCTTTCTCCCAGCCAATTTGGGAATCAAGGTAGGTTCTTTCCTTATCCTCTGTTATCACTTGTAATTAAGAATCTTCAGATGTGTCTTCAGATTGTGCTTTCAGTGTCAACTGTATAACTCCAGTGATGTATAATTCATTAACAGTTTAAATGTATTGAGATTCTCAGACTTAAATGTATTTAAGTGCAAAGTATATATTCCCATAGTAATATATAGTACTATATTATTGTGACCCTTGTTCTGCTGTTGATTCTACACTTGTAACCCAAAAAGTGAATTCTTGTGGCTTTTATTTTCAAAAGTTTTAAATTGTCAAAAAGTTTGTTAAATGAAGAACATTTTAGAATGATAAAATGATTATATTTTGAATATATAGTAATCTATTCAACAGAGTGAAAATAATATATGAAGAGTATCTAATAAAAAATATAATCACTAAATTTGAACAGAATATAATTGAAGGTAGGCTCTTTGACCACCAGAGGGTGCTTGTATTGTATTATCCCACCAGTACAAGAGAATTATAAGAAAAAGTTCATTATTCTAAAAAGTCAACAGTGTTATAAGTTCAGGGATAGAGAAGACTTTGGTGTCCATTCAGTCCAGTTCTGGGGGAAAAAACTATTTGAGAACTGGTTTGGTCCAGTTCTTATTTTTCCTAATCAGTTTGCTTCTCTCTAACAATCATGCATAATCATAGAATCATAAGACTGGAAGCAACCTCAAGAGGTCATCTAGTCCAGTGCCCTGCACTCATGGCAGGACTAAGTATTATCTAGACCATTCCTGACAGGTGTTTGTCTAACCTGCTCTTAAAAATCTCCAAGGATGGAGATTCCACAGCCTCTGTAGGCAATTTTATTCCAGTGCTTAAACACCCTGACAGTTAAGAAGTTTTTCCTAATGTTCAACCTAAACCTCCCTTGCTGCAATTTAAGCCCATTGCTTCTTGTCTTATCCTCAGAGGTTAAGAAGAACAATTTTTCTCCCTCCTCCTTGTAACAACCTTTTACGTACTTGAAAACTGTTATCATGTCCCCTCTCAGTCTTCTCTTTTCCAGACTAAACAAACCCAATTTTTTTCAATCTTCCCTCATAGGTCATGTTTTCTAGACCGTTAATAATTTTTGTTGCTCTTCTCTGGTCTTTCTTCAATTTGTCCACATCTTTCCTGAAATGCGGCTCCCAGAACTGGACACAATACTCCACTTGAGGCCTAATCACCGCGGAGTAGAGCAGAATTACTTCTCGTGTCTTGCTTACAACACTCCTACTAATACATCCCAGAATGATGTTTGCTTTTTTTGCAACAGTGTTACACTGTTGACTCATATTTACACTGTACGTAGAGTTAAATTCCAAATGAATCTAAAACTGATTCTTTGAAAGCAAATCAAACAAACATCCATTTGACTAGTTTCCATTTAAACCTAGAACTAGATCACATTGCCTTGAAGTAGCCAACACTGAAGAAACATGAAATAAGGCTGCTCTGACTGTGCTGTTCAGGACAGTTAAGAATCGGTTAAAGATGTAATGGGAAAAAAACTGGTGACTATTCTTTGAATCAGTTCCAAAAGCTAATTCTAGGTGCAATTTCTATATATATTAGATACCAACTAACAGGTGATTAGAAGGGGAGTATTGGAAGACAGGTTTGGGAGATGTGTATCATTAGGAGGATAAATGCTTAGGGGTGGATTACAAAAGGTTAAGGGATTTGTAGGGAGTTCATAGAATTGTAGGGCTAGAAGAGACCTCAAGAGGTTATCTACTCCAGCATCCTGAGCTGAGGCAGGATCGAGTATACCTAGACCATCCCTGATAGGTGTTGTCCAGTCTGGTTTTAAAATCTCCAGTGATGAGATTTCACAGGCTCCTTTGGAAGTACATTCCAATGCTTAACTATACATCTCCCTTGCTGTAGATTAAGCCCATTACTTCTTGTCTAACCTTTAGTGGGACATGGAGAACAACTGATCACTGTTGTCTTTATAACAGCTCTTAACATATTTGAAGGCTGCTATCAGGTCCCCACTCAGTCTTTTTTTCTCAAGACTAAACATGACCAGTTTTTTTTAACCATTCAAAATAGGTCAGGTTTTCTAAACCTTTTAAAATTTTTGTTACTCCCCTCTGGGCTCTCTCCAATTTGTCCACATCTTTCTTAAAGTGTGGCACCCAGAACTGGACACAATACTCCAGCTAAGGCCTCACCAGTGCTGAACAATTGTCTCCTGTGTTTTACATACACCCCAGAATGTTAGCCTTTTTTTGCAACTGCACCACATTGTTCATTCATGTTCAGCTTATGATCCACTCTAACGCCCAGCTCCTTTTCAGCAGTAATACTGCCTAACCACTTGCAGCTGATTTGTCCTTCCTCCATGCAGTAATTTGCACTTGTCTTTACTGAATTAAATGTTATTGATTTCAAACTAATTCTCTGATTTAACATGGTTGTTTTGAATGCTTGTAACCCCTCCTAGCTTGGTGTTAGCCACAGACTTTAGACACATACTTGCCATTCCTTTATCCAACTCATTAATGAGAATATTGAATAGCCCCATACCCATGACTGGCCCCTGCAGACCCCCACTAGATATGTCCACCCAGTTTGACAGTGAACCATTGATAACCACTCTTTGAGTCAGGTTTTTCATCCAGTTTTGCAGCCTCTTTATAGTAATCGCACCTAGACCACGTCTCCCTAGTTTGCCCATGAGACGGGTTGGGGACAATTGGAGGGGGGCTGTTGGATGTTAGGGTAGTGGATCGATAGTGCAGGGGGAGCTAGCGTGAGGGGACTGGGGTTAGGACGCGAAGTGGGGTGGTATTGGGGTATAGGCTATTTGCTTATGCAGATAAACGGGCAGCACTGCAGGAGGCTGAGAGCATTTGGGGGCTGTGAGCAGAGGCTGAGGGCACTGGGGAGAAACTGGGGACGGTTTGGGGAGAGGCTGCAGGCGGCTGAGAGAGCTCGGGGGAGGCGGCGCCAGAGCGAGGGGCTAAGTATGGGGGGACCCTGAGGGGCTTTGCGGAAGGACATTAGGAGGGGGAAGGTTTCTGGGCAGGCCACACAGTGGCTGGGGCCTGGGGTGCAGCGAGCCCCACCCCGCAGCGAGTTCCGGGGGGGCGGCCGCTGCACAAGCCCAGCCCCCTCGGCGTGCGGGGCGGGGACGGGACGGCGGCGGCGGGAGGCTCCGCAGCTGCTGCAGCCCCAGCAGCAGCGCCGGCGCCGCGAACCCCGATGCCTCCCCTGCAGCGGCTCGCCAGGGAAGATGGCGCCGTCCCACGTCCTCAAGTGCTGCCAGAGGGTGCTGGCCTGGGTGCCCGTGGTCTTCATCGCCCTGGTGGTGGCCTGGTCCTACTACGCCTACGTGGTGGAGCTGTGTGCGTGTGAGTGTCCGCGAGCGGGCGGCTGCCCCGGCCAGGGAAGGGCGGCCGGAGGTGGCGCTCCCACTTCCCCCAGCAGCCCGGGGGGGTGGATCCGCCTCCCGGGGGGGCAGCGGCTGTGAGAGCGGGGAGTCCCCCCCGGTTACCTCCGCGGTGCCCCGGCTCCCCGATCTCGGCCCCCAATCCCGTCTCTCCTCCGCCTGCTGGTGGCGGGGCTGAGACCCGTGTGTCATGCGGGGCCCTCCCAGGGGTCCCCCGCTCGCTTGGGGGTGCCTGTCGCCTGTCCTCTCTCTGGTGTAGGTACGGGGTGTCCGTCCCCGCGGTGTCCGTGGCTGCCGCCTGTCACTTCAGCTAGCCGGGTACCGAGCTGCTTGGGGGATGTTACAACACTTGGATGTTGCCCTGTGTGAGGCTGCTGGGTTGCTTGTTTTGTGTCCCTCATTTTGGAGCTTTGCCTCACACTGGGGAAGTAGCAGGCTGAGAGCCGCAGGGGTGGTGGTGTAGCTCCTGTTTAAATTGTGTCAACTGGGCCTTGTGCCCAAGGGTGTCCCACAGATGTGCTTTTTAAAAAATGTCCCTTTAACTTGGTAGCATTTGAGAGGGGAGGCAGCGGCAGTTCCTTGGTTTCTGCAAGCTTGAGAGGTGCTGCACCCGTCCTTGCTGACTGCCTGTAGGAGAGCATCCAGCAGAGTGCCGAAGTGGTGGTGGTGATAGGCCTAGAGTCTCATAAACGAAGGCTTCTTGGGGGAAAGACCAGGGTGCCAAAGAACCTAGAAGAGTTAAAAGTGAGGAAGGAATGGGCTGTGGGGAAGAGATGTGTGAGAGGGATGTAAAAGGCCTGGGATGGTCTGGAGAAGGACTGAACTCCCTGCCACTTGAAGTCAATAAAAGTGGCTCAGGGCCTCTCAGAAATCTGCCTTTAGGATCATTGTAACTTGCGCCAGCCTTTGGTTAATTCCTTCACCATCCATGGTTTCTTCCCTACTTAAAGGGGTAACATTATTTATGTGTGTTGCCACTTTTTTTTGTTAGCTTTTGTTTTGTTTTGACACTGTTCTTTCATCCCCCTCTCCCCCCCCCCCCCACCCCATGATGTGGGGAATTTTTTAACTGAACCACTGTTGTTTGTCTTCTTTTAAAAATAAACTGGGCTAGAAGTTCATGTTTTAGAAAGTAAAACTTTTTGAGTTCTTTAGTGTTCTGTCCCTCTTCTGATAATGAATCCTAAAACCTAGTGTCACTGAAATGTGATTAGAGTGAAATCTTTTGACTTAAACAGTAGGGAAAAGGGATTTAGAGCTTAGATGTTTCATACTGTCAGGCTATTGGTAGTGTAGTTCAGTGTTATGTAAATCTTATTTGAAGACCCTGTCATTCAGGATGATATTTATCCTTTTCTTATATGTAGATCTCAATTTAGACTGAAGTCTTATGGCATTGTTCGGTTCAGATCATTTTTGTTCATTTAATAATAATAATACATTGCACTTACATAATTCACCAGAACTTCAAAGCATGTAAAAACATAATAAAGACATGTAGTGTTTCAAATCTCTAGGTAGTCTATGTAAAAGAGTTGAAATGCATAAAAATACTAGATGGGAAGACAGAAGAGTGCACAACTACTATAATATAAGGACTGCCAATTAATCACGTGATTAACTCAAAAAAATTAATCATGATTAATCGCACTGTTAAACAATAGAATACCAACTGAAATTTATTAAATATTTTTGATGTTTTTCTACATTTTCAAATATATTGATTTCAGTTATAACACAGAATACGAAGTGTACAGTGCTCACTTTATATTATTTTTGCTTACAAATATTTGCACTTAAAAATGATAAAAAGTAGTATTTTTCAATACACCTCATACAAGTACTGTTGTGCAATCTCTTTATCATGAAAGTGTAACTTCAAATGAGTTTGTTTTGTTACATAACTCCACTCAAAAACAAAAAAAATGTACAAGTCCACTCAGTCCTACTTCTCATTCAGTGAATTGCAAGTTTGATTATGTTTATGGGAGATAATGCTGCCCACTTCTCACTTTCAGGTGACACTGTAATTAAGAACAGGCATTCGCATGGCACTGTTGTAGCTGGTGTTGCAAGATATTTACGTGCCAGATGCGCTAAAGATTCCTATGCCTCTTCATGCTTTGACCATCATTCCGGAGGACATGCTTCCATGCTGATGACGCTGGTTAAAAAAATAATGCATTAATTAAATTAGAGACTGAACTCCTTGGGGGAGAACTGTATGTCTACTACTCTGTTTTACCCACATTCTGCCATATATTTCATGTTATAGCAGTCTCGGAAGATGACTCAGCACATGTTGTTCATTTTAAGAACACTTTCACTGCAAATTTGACAAAATGCAAAGAAGATACCAATATGAAATTTCTAAAGATAGCTACAGCACTCGACCCAAGATTTAAGAATCTGAAGTGCCTTCCAAAATCTGAGAGGTGTGAAGTATGCTTTCAGAAGTCTTAAAAGAGCAACACTCTGACGTGGAAACAGAGAACCCAAACCACCAAAAAAGAATATCAACCTTCTGCTGGTGACATCTGACTCAGACGATGAAAATAAACATGCATCAGTCCGCACTGCTTTGGATCGTTATCGAGCAGAACTCGTCGTCCGCATGGATGCATATCCTCTGGAATGGTGGTTGAAGCATCAAGGGGCATGTGAATCTTTAGCACATCTGGCATGTAAATATCTTGTGACGCCGGCTACAACAGTGCCTGTTCTCACTTTCAGGTGACATTGTAAACAAGAAGCAGGCAGCATTATTTTCTGCAAGTGTAAACAAACTTGTTTGTCTGCTCTGAACAAGAAGTAGGACTGATTGGACTTGTAGGCTGTAAAGTTTTACATTGTTTTATTTTTGAACGCAGGTTTACAAATTCTACATTTGTAAGTTCAACTTCCATGATAAAGAGATTGTATTACAGTACTTCTATTAGGTGAATTGAAAAATACTATTTCTTTTGTTTTTTACAGTGCAAATATTTGTAATAAAAAATAAAGTGAGCACTGTACACTTTGTATTCTGTGCTGTAATTGGAATCAATATATTTGAAAATGTAGAAAACACCAAAAATATTTAAATAAATGGTATTATATTATTGTTTAACGGCGCGATTAATCACGATTAATTTTTTTAATCGCTTGACAGCCCTAATATATATATTTCTGTTTGTGGGGCCCTGGAATATGGAAATACTTTAATTATTTATATAGAATGTGTGAAATGCTTTTGTTTTTTCTGTTATATTGTGCAAGCCTTCTATTTCTAGTTACAGGGCATATTTGATATTTGGACAAGCTTGTAAAAATCTGTATGTATAAGTCCCTTACAGATAAGATTTTCCACTGTATTTAGGTATAGGGAGAAGTATTTGGATCACTTGTATTTTTGCAGCTGTTAATCATATTTCATTTTTTTTTAAATAAGAGTAGTCTGGAGGAAGAAGTGTGAATACTATAGACTTTAGGCATCAAATTATTTAGCTTGGTTATACAGTTTTACCCTTTTTAGATAGGGTTAAAATGAAACCTATTAAACTATGAGTGATCTTTAAGTTTCATGTAAGAGGTTTATGTAGACAGGCTTGATACTATACCAAAATTTGTGTCAAAGGTTCTGATTTGTGGACACATTGATGGGACTATTCACATGAATAAAGTTACTCCTATGCATAAATGTTGGTAAGATTGGACCTTTCTTATTTTGTGAAGGTCTATTTTAAAACTGTCCAAGCACTTGCAACCAAATTTTTAGCCAGCCTCTAACATTGGATGACCTGTGGTTTCCGGGCACAATTATTTATATTACAGTAGCTCCTAGAAGCCTCAAATGAAATTGTAGCCACATTTTGTATGTATGCACAGTGAGAGACTGTCCCTGCCCTGAAGAGTTTACGGTCCAATTGGACAAGACGATCTAAGACCTAGTCTACACTAAAAAATTAGGTCAGTTTATTTACATCAGTCAGGGGTGTGAAAAAATCCACACTCCTGAGCATCGTTGTTAAGATGACCTAAGTCCTTGTGTAGACAATGCTAGGTTGACCGAACAATTCTTCCGTTAACCTAGCTACTGCCTCTCGGGGAAGTGGATTACCTATGCTGACAGGAGAACCCCTCCCATTGGTGTCGTTTTATATATAGACAAGCCCTCAGAGTGTTCCTTGTTTACAGGCAAGGAATTGAAACATCTGGAGACTAAATGATTTGCCCAAGGTTATACAGGAAGTCTTTGGTTGAGTCAGGAATTGAACTAGTTCTTCCAAGCCTCAGTTCAGTGTCTTGACCTCAAGGCCATCCAGTGTTAGAGGCTGACTAATAATTGTACCTGTACCTTGAAAATGTTGGCCCTGATCCTGGAAGGAGCTCTAGGGATGGATCCCTAAACCTGCACAGTGCCCCATTGAATTCAGTGGAACTCTGCAGAGAAACCGGGGTCCATCCATGTGGAGATCCTTGCAGAAATGGGGCTTTTGTTTGTATTAAAACCCTCAGTTGTATGCATAAATCATCTAGCCATTTTGCACTCTCAGTGCAATTTTTTCATTCTTAATGTTTGCAGGTGCAACTGTGCAGGCTGTGCTTGCAAATTCAATCTTTAATAATAGGAAATCTAGATCATTATTGTATTGCTGTTTTAAGTGGATTCTTGACATGTTACCAGTCAAAAATCACTGTTTGGTATGTCTCGTGTTGTATTTTCTATGACTGAAAAAATAGTTGATACTTTAATTTTTTTTATTTTGTGTTATGTAGAAGTCTTGGGAAAAGGTTGGTTGATGTGAATACTTACCGGTAGTAGACAAACCAAGGGGTGGAGAATGTAGATTTGTGATGCTTTTCTTTTACACATCCGTTCATTTAAAAAACACACAGACCTTAGTCATGGCTCAGAATGCAAAATTACTGGATGCTCACCTTCTTTTGGCAAGTAGATATCCCTACTTTAAGGGGTAACAT